TAACATTGACTAGTTGCTGACGGCCACAATTCGTACGTTCAGACCCAGATTTTCGGCTGACAGTCCAGCCTTTAAACACTTTAACAACAGCTGCTCTTGAACATTTAACGAATTCTGCTGTTTTGCTGATACTCGCTCCATGGCTCCGAGCGCCAACAATCATCCCACGTTCAAAGGCTGTTAAATCGCGTTGTTTACCCGTATCTTCAGAAACAAATCACTTCTACTGTCGTGGTAAACAACCTGCTTCCCTATTTATAATGGTCTGGCCCTCTAGCAACTTCAGCGCAAAATTATAGCTAGTTATAGCTAATTTGCCTACAAATGTCAGGTGGTCATAATGATCTGGTCACTCAGTGTGTGTGTGTGTGTATAAATATAAAATTATATAGAAAATAAAATATATAGATATAGAAATATAAAAGCCCAGTCATCAGTTTAGCGTTATCCATGCATATTGGACTGAGAATTATTGCTCTCACTCTGGCGCACACGGCAATACTTGACATTGGTAGCGCAATCGTCATTTTTGTACGTAGGTGCACCCGACTTGTGATTCTGTTCATATGCGCTACCCCTAGGGTCACCGTTCCACTTTAAAAAGGAGCTATTCAAGCACACATGGCTTTAATAATGAAATAGCCAATAGCGGGCTGGCTATTGCACCCTCCCCACTGCCCATCAGCAGAGGCAGGAATTAAAAGGAGAAAGTTCTCCTTCAGGTCCATCTCTGCTGATGGATAGCAGGCAGTGGGCGGATGCAATAGCCAGCCCGCTATTGGCTATTTCAAATTGCAATAGCAAACTGACTATTGCACACACCCACTGCCTCCGAGCCTCTCCGACACGTCCAGCAGAGCCGCACTGTCCTGACCCGCCCCCTCTCTGGCATCTCCGTCTGAGTAGCCGTAGCACCAGAGCATCGGTATGTGTCCCTTCTGATGCCTGCTGCCACTGCCGATACAGGCGGGGGAGAGCAGTGGGATCGGAGACGACACGGACTGTAGTAGGGAGGAGAGCGGCAACACAGAGTCCGTGCGGTGGCAGGGGATGGTCGAAGCAGCTAAGCAGAGTTGCAGCGGCGGCTGGGGCGGAAGAGGAGGGAAGGGGGCGCTGGGCACTGGTCAGAGTTGCGGTGGCTGGGAGGAACGGCTGAGCACTGAACAAAGTTGCGGTGGGCAGGCTGAATCAACTAATCGGAATTAACTAATCGATAATGAGAATCGTTGACAGCGATTCTCATTATCGATTAGTTGTGGCAGCCCTACTTCTGAGCAATGACATACCAGAGAGCTCATCTGTCCTCAGATAGCGCCCCGAGCCTCCTCGTCCATAACCACTTCCTCCAGCTTTGTAGCGTGTGAAGTTCTTTGTGTCAGGGCTGCCGTGAGTTGAGGCAGCACGAGAGCGCCCTGGGACGTTTTCCAGCAAGCCTTGGCAGCCCAAAAGGTGAATCTCTAAAGTTCCTGTAGAAGAAAGAAGACCAGAGAGGTTCAAATATAAATCCGTGTTTTAAACTGGTCTACTTTGTACCTGTCCAGTTACAGCCGAGATACCTGTGAGTGCAGTGGCCTTGATAAGGGACGTTAGGGACTGACTGGGACTCTGGTCTTTACCGCATACTCCCCCTGAAGATGGAAAACACTGCAGATCCTGCTTTATTTGCTCCTGCTTCAGATGTCCTGGGGGCAGCTCAGAAAGACAGCGCTCAAGTGATACACGTAGAAGGTCAATCTTCTGGCAGGATTCATACAACCTGGACTGAGCCTGGAGAAAGAATAAAAAGCATCCTCATTACATTAAAAGAGCCGTTTAGTAAGTAAAGTGGACCTAGCATCAAATAGATATCTCCACATATATACTTCTCTCCACATGGACAGAGCGATCTTTGTTCAAGCATTCCCCCCTGGACAGAGATGCTACTTCAGAGATGACACAATCGTGTACATGCTGGTGCCTGTGCAGTTCGTGTTCACAAATATCTGACACAGATCAGTTATCTGCTGCAGTCTCTCACCTTGTGATTTGATACAAAGTTACAATGTTGCAGTCTGAACATTGGAGGGGAGAAGACTGAGGCCTACAACGGACTGATGGCATCATCTCAGTCTAGGCCAAGTCACTGGAGCTCAGAACTGTTTTTTTAAATAATAAAAAAGGTTCAACTTTGCTTTCATTCATCCTCGAGAAAGGGGCAAACATAGGGCGATTCACTTGGTTAATCATCTTACTTGACTCTTCCTTTCAGAGATGTCTACAGATCCTGACAACTATGTTTTTTTGGAGGTGGAGGAAACGGTCACACTTTCTGTCCTCTTTGGCCTCCCCTGACTCGTGACTGCCCTCTCACACCGTTTGAAGGAGAATGTACAAATGATGGTCCTTCAGTTAAAGTTCTCTCCTTCTGCTACAAACCCATTACTCTTTGCAGACCAAGACTTCTACTCCCCCTCTCTTGACAGATGGGAAAGGGACCTGAACATATCCTTTAAACACAAATTAACACTCTAGGCTCCTCCTATTGTCTCTTAAATCCTGCATTACCAAAAAATATCAGGAATCAGGTTAGAAGACACTCACCCAGCGGTACAGGACTCCCCACATGCCAAATGCTCTCTATCTGGATTCTCCTGACAGATTTGGCGGTGCGGCTCCTCCCCTCCCCTACATATATATTGGTCATTATGCAAAAATTCACCTATTTTACCATTCCCTCTGCTCCGGCCTTTTTTCTACTCCACCGCAACCACTTTCTCCCCACGATCCCCCCCGCCCCCCCTTTCACTCTCCCCTTGGGATGCCTGTGCCGCTTCTTCCACTCTTATGCCCTATTCCTATCCCCTTCACCCTTCCTTTTCCCTGTTTCTTCTATTATTTTGCTCAGGTCCATTCCACCTACATGTCCAATTGTCCTGGTCTAAGGAATGCTGCCTCTTTTCATTTGCAATAGCGGCACATAAAAGAACAATTGGATTTTCCACACCCAAGATAAGACAGACATTCTCCTACAACATTAAAAAAGTAGACATTTTTTCAATATGTACAGGGGAAGAAAAAAAGTATTTTTTCCCAATTACATAGATAAATCCTAAGCGATGCACAGCCCCACCTCACCTCAGCTAGAGCCCTGCGGTCCTGCACTTTGCGGCCACCTAGCAGCTTGACCACGTTCTTGGCGCCTTCAGCCACAGCTGCTTCAACGCGCAAATGGTGCCTCAGCTCCTCCACGCGCAGCTCCAGGGGTGAAAGGGTTGAGTCACTGAGGTCAGTCACGGAACCCGGCAATTGTGTCAGTTTCACAATTTGCATGCGAAGCAATTCGGTTTTTATCCGGGTGTCCTGAAGCATCTGCTGCGCCGTAGCCATCAGCTTCCTGTCCTTTAAAAGATTGCAAAGATGTTAAGGGTTTACTGCTTTCCCCATCAAAGAGAAACTATAAAATGTTTTATGGATAAACTTTGTTTTTAGGCATGCACAATTTTATAAACTTTTACTTTTTTCTTAATTTGCATAACATTTTCATTTAACAAAATAAATATGTATTATACACTACATCCATGACAGATAGCTAGGCTTTATAATAGGAGGAAATTGGTTGATAGTTGAACTCTGGGGGAAAACAAATATTTTAGAAACCGCACAAGTAAAAGTAAGTTGAATAGTAGGAGTATGAATGATGCTCACTATAAAAATCATTCCTCAATAGAAGCTGGATACTACTCACAGCATTGTATTTTTTACCTCTGCAGGAGATGCAGCTGCCATAATAAATACCCACCCCCTCCTCTCTCCTCGCCAGATTTACAAAACGCATTTTTGCAGAATTCTGCCGCAGTTCTTTCAAAATAAATAAAGCCATGCCCTCCGGCCGCACGGCACATTATACCTGCGGTCCGGTGCGATCAAAATAGTGCTTGCAGCATTTTGATTGCATCGGACCACAGGCATAATGTGCCTTGCGATCCCGTGGACCCGATCGCATTGCAGCCAGAGGGCGTGGCGATGGTGCCATTCACTTCAATGGCCCGCCACGCCCCCTCCTGCCCCACAAAAAAATGAGCCGACCGCAATGCAAGGCACTGCGCTCTGGCTAGAATCGGACCGGAACGCACTGAATCTGGCGTGAACGGGCCCTAAAGCTCGGGAACAAAATGGTTGATGGCAGAGAGAGGTAATAGCTGCGAGAGAGGGACAAACAAAAAAAAGGTACGGATCAGGAATAGAAGGGATTCATAAAGACAGCTGCTGCAGCATTAAACGGTTTAATTGTGGAGATGCAAGTTCGCAGGGAATTGAAAGTAATCAATTTCAACACATAAGAGGACTTGCTACAAGTGTGGGGGAAAGGCTGGTGTTCAGCTTGAAGCCATTAGATTAGTATGACAGCCAAGCAACTTTCATTTTCAGAAGGAAAGACCAGCAGATGCAAACTCCATACTTCTAGTAATAGTTTACCATAATGACCTGCCTAAGATAACAGCCACTGTTCCTGTTCCTGTTAACGTACAAATATTTACACGTGTGCATTTTAACTGGCAGCTGTGAGGCAACAAAGACAATCCGTATTTCATTTACTGGTTGGACATGAGACACTTCCACCTGCTGCCTACTACAGATCTATGCAGATGCTGGAAACCAAATGTCCTTCAACAGATACCGTGTGTTTCCCCGAAAATAAGACACTATCTTATATATTTTGGGGCTCAAAAAAAACACACTAGGTCTTATTTTCAGGGTAGGTCTTATTTTTTTTTTTATAATGCACAACAATTCACACGTATTCATGTACAAAAATATGGTGATCAGGGGGTGCCATAACTTTCCAAGAGCAATTTGGTAACCAATCGCTGGCCAGAATGAGCGAAGCGCACTTTCACTATGGATTCCTCACAGGCGGAGTGCATTTGGTATCACTCCGCCTGTGACAGGAGCCGGCGCTATAGAGGAAGCATCGGCTTATGCGGCTCTGCTCCCTCCGGTGCCGCCTCGCTTACTCTAGCGCCGTTGGCACCACTGATTCTCTCCTGCCTCTCCCGCGGCTCTTCAAGTTCCCCCTTATGCCACCACCGGCCCTGGGAATGGTCACAACTAGGTCTTATTTTAAGGGTAGGTCTTATATTTTAGCAATTCCCAAAAATAGCACTAGCTCTTATTTTTCGGGAAACAGGGCAGTAGTCGGGCTCAAGAAAAAACAAAAATGTAATTTTCAGCCATTCTGTAGCTCTCCTCGTGTGCGTTCACACATTACTGATAAGGATATGTTTGAATGACAGACAATTAGCTTTTTAGTGGCAACACCCAATGTCTTTATCTGTGTATTTCCAAGTTCCTGTTTCAGAAAACCATCAGCCCATAAGACCAGTGCATTTCTTTTATGAATAATACAATGGGGGCAATTTATGAAGGGGTTTACGACAAAATGTTTTGGGCGCAAAGACCAAAATGTCATGCTAACTAACCGCAAAGTTTTATCTCTGTTATGCTGCGCTTTTATTTATTTAAAGTGTTCTTGTCAGTCCCCGTTCACACCTAGGCTTTTCGTCACTCAAGCCAAGCGTCACAAAATGCTCAAGACAGGGAATCCCATTCATTTTTATGGCACAATATATATTTAGACATTAAAGACATTTGAAAAAATGTGTATTGCTTTTAATGCAAAGCTACAAAAAACTAATCTGTTATTAATAAAGTGAACAAAACCAGAAGTGTTTACATAAGGTTTAAAAAATAAATAAAAAGAGCTAAAATACTTCCACTGGGTAAGGATTTGCTAGTGGCTCTTACCTTGGCTTTGTAGTAATATACTGTACATGTGGCTTTATTAAGCTGGCCATACACCTTACAACCATCGCACGACTTTCGTTGTGCGATGGTTGTGAGGTGATTAAAATTTCGTACGACCTGCCCATCTTGGACAGGCAGATCGTACTTGCGATCATCGAAAGCCCGCTCCCGCTGAGGGGAGGTCTTCCGATGAATCCAATGCTGAGCGGGCAGTGTGCACTTGCGCACACCGGCCCGTGCGGCTTTCGTCTTCCGAACACGCTACCAACCCGATGAAAATCGTACGATTTTCGGCAGCTTTTCCAGCGTGCTAGGAAGACGAAAGTCGTGTCATCGTACAGTAGATGCGGTCGCACGCTGCTCATACACCTGCCGATTATCGTACGATGGCGGGATCACCCGCGATTATCGTCCGATAATCGGCAGGTGTATGGGCACCTTAACAGTATTATTACATTTGTTTTGAATTCTCCTGGATAATATTGCTTCAGAGTTCCAGTTCTCTACGTGGACATCTATTTAAATTTCAGCCAGTTCTTGATGAACCTGCCGAACATTTGCACAGTGGGTGCTGCTGTCAGCACCCTTACAGCGAGGATCCCTCAATCAGTCGATTGAAGAAGACCGGTTGGAAAATCTTCGAAAGAACAGAGCCGGCATCCGCTGTCACAATACGATGAAGACAACGGGGGATTCCTCGATCAATGCTCAGAAGTGTTGATGGAACAATCTGTTATATTTTCCTTGTTCAGCCGGCTGTATGGGCAACTTAAGACACCGATGCTTGTGTAGTTTCTCCACCGCTTTCTCCACTTATAAAGGGCACAGCTGCCAACACCATTTTGTGAATGGTTAAGTGGTGCTGGGAAATGACAAAAGTGCCATTATCTAACTGAACATCAGCACTGACGTCCAGGAAAAACTAGCGGGCCAGACCGATATAATCCCTACTACTTGCAGCATGCTTTGTGAAAAAGGAGCACCAACAGCATGACCAAAAACACAGAGGACAGAACAAAGTGACAGAGAGATGAGCTCATCAGTCTCCTTTTTGTCCGCTCACTCTGGATTGGATGGACAAAAATACAAATCTCTTGGCAGGCAAAATGGCTCATCTATGTATTTCATCTGTGAATTTAGGTGGTTACCTGGGAGTTTAGCTTTAAGCTTATTTACCACCAAGAAACAGTCTCCAATTCATGAATATATCACACAGATTAATATAAAAAGGTATTTATCAAAAAGGATACAATACTGAAAAGCAAACATTGCCGTTGTCGTGAAGTGGTTATACGAGATCAGCTTTGTGGTAGACATGCAGTTACTCACTTTAAAAGCTCCGCTGGAGAACATCTGTATTATATTCTCTGCTCCTTGTTTCACCTTGTGTTCAATATGCAACTGTCTCTTTAAGGCTTCCACCCTGCGCTGCCTTGGGTCTTGGCTTTGATCGAATATACAGGGGTCTGGAGACACCGTGCCATCTGCAAGAACAGGCACCCTTGGTTAATCTAAGGCAATCAGAAGAGCAATACAGGAACCACAATTGCTGAAAATGCTAGTTGCCTGGTTGAGTCGTCATCCCAAAACAAGCAAGGAATGTGGGGAGTATTATAAGGAAATACATCTGTAAATATGAAAACCCCCTTTAAGGATTTCACTATTTCCCAGGACAGATCTTTACCAGGAAGTAGAGCTAGAAGTATGGGGGCTGCAATCAGGGCTGGATTTCCCCCAAGGCCAACCAAGGCCCGGCCTCGGGGCAGCAGGGAGTTTTGGTGCAGTAACACTTTTAATAATATAGTCCCCTTAGCTAGACGTATAGTTGCTTGTCCCCTATCCAGTGAGATACCACTGACTAGATTGCACAACCACTTGGGCAGCAGGGGTCTGGAATTCTCCCGATGCCCGGGCACGTGGTTAGTTTTCGACATTTAGTCCTGCTTTGGGCAACCAGAGCTAAATGTACAGCGGGGAAGCTGCCACTTGTTTTATGCAAGTGATGTCGGCGACATTGTATGCAGCCTGCAGGTCTGCCATTCTCCATGGGGGGAGGGGTTGGTGGGTAGGTGTGTGTGTGGGGGGGGGGCGCCTTGGGGCAGCAGAGAGCGTAAATCCAGCCCTGGCTGCAATCAATGCAGGCTCCAGGGCTGTCATACTGGTCCCAGCTTCACTGGCAAGTCACAGACCTTAAAGAAAAACTGTCCTAAAAGAATCAAACACTGAGGCTGCTGTTTCTAACCTCTCCTTTTGAAAATGCTAGTTGTCTGGCTGTCATTCTAAACCTCCTGCTTCGATATTTTGGGTCGTTGGCCCAGAACAAGTGTGCAGATATGGACTTCTGGCATTTCTCTGACTGTTCTGATGTACATACTTGGTTCCTTGTCACTGCCTCAGAACATACTTAAGCCAGAGGTTCAGCATAGCAGCCAGTTAGCTAGCAATTTTAGAAGGTAGTCATAATCCTCTCACGCAAGCTTACCTTTGAAGTATAACTGATTCTTATAGTCCCCTCTGCCCAGAGCCCACCTTATACCTTCCTATCCCCAATCCAGTGCTGACTAGATTGGACAGCTGCTTGTCAAAATGTCCCCGTCCTAGTCCGCAGATGTGCTCCGTACTCTTCATTTATTCCTATGGAGCTCTATTGGAACCAATGGGAGTGCACAGTACATGTGCAGGCCCAGCCATAAACATTTTGACAAGTGGTTGTGCGATCTAGTCAGTGGTATCTCACTGGATAGGGGACAAGCAACTATAAGACTGGCTAAGGGGGCTATATTAGAAGGGTTACTGCACCAAAAGTGCTGTTATACATTGAAAAAGCATGCAGTCAGTGAAGTCCAAGCTGCTTCCTGGTCTGCGGCTTGCCAGGTAGTGAAGTCAGAATCAGAACGACAACCCAGGAGCCTGCACCTCAGTCTTGCGCCATATACAGGTCCATTTAAAGGGATGATGTCCCAGACAACAATGCAAGAGGCCTCTGCTGCAAAGCTCCATTCTCTCTGCTGGGTTGTATACCAGTTCCAGGGCAGTGACATCACTTGCTTCAGCTTCGCTACCTAAGAACAACTATGCAGCACAAAAGTCAGAGAATGACGGAGTCTATCTGAGGCTTCTCACACAGGTTGCCCTTATGACAAATGCTCTTTGAAGGATACCTGTGCCGAGAGAAATACCGATACATCCCTCCTGAAAATGCTAGATGCCTGGCTGTCCCTGGCTTTAATACTTTTCACGCTGCTGACCCAGAACAAGCTTGTAGATTAGAAAGTAAGAGAGAAGTGAGAACTCCTGATCTTCATACTTCTGAGTCATGAATTTAAAGAGTACTGAAGCCACTGGATTAGAATGACAGCCAGTCACCGGGCATTTTCAGAAGGAGAGGTTGGCAACTAGGGCTGCAGCTAACGATTATTTTCATAATCGATTAGTTGCCCGATTATTTTTTCAACTAATTGATTGGTTGTATTAAAAAAAACGCTCTAATAGTTGCCAACTATTCTCATCATCGATTATTATCGTTTTAGTCGATTAGTTGTTGCAGCCCTATTGGCAAAAGTCCTTCTACCCAAACCCCACGTGCCTTGCTTGGCATCCTTCTCCATGATGACGATCCTCCCGTTAAGCTCCTGCAGTCGGCGGTGCAGCTCCTGTAAGCGGCGGTTGGAGGTCTTCAGCTGGCTCTCCACATGGCTCTGATGTTTCTTGTCCGTGGACACCTTGCGCAGGTTCTCCGCCCCCTCTTTTATCTTCAGCTCCCTCTGAATCTCTCGCTTGAGCTGCTCCCTGGAGTCCTCCAGCTGCTGCTGGAAGCTGGGATCCAGCAACTGCGCCCCCCCGTTCCTGAATTCCATCCTGAGACCGGCCTGCAGGTAAAGAGAGAGAGAGAGAGAGAGAAAGGGTTAAGTCCAAAGGAGCGGTACCTAGAAAGAGCCAGGCAGGTAACTTGTGAAACTTGACTCACGGAAGCACAGACTGCGGAGAGGCACCTGCACCACCCTGTGGAAATGTAAACATACACGGCTGGGATTTTCTAGAAATTAAAGTGTAACTTTAGAGTCCTCCCGATGCATTGTCATAGCGGGAGGGGGGCACAAGGTGGGATATTACAGCGGCAGCTAAGGGAACAGGAAAAAAAACCCCGGAGCTTTGGGAAGCTTAGCAGACGGATCGTCATTTCCTGGAATTTCTTCCTGTTACTGGGCACACCGCTGACTCAAACAGTCCGGGACAAAATCCAGCCACTGCGTGACATACAAAGCGCCAGTGTCCAATACGCAGCTCTACCTCCACCTTAGTACAATGGACCTTTATACATTACTTTTCCTATATTAAAAGGGACTTAAAATAAAAGTACAAGCTGGAGCATGTGTAACAGGTTCGAAAGCCAGTAATAGATCGTAGAGAAAAAAAAAAAATGACTTTTGTATTCCTTTCATAGAACTATGTTTTTCCCCATAGTTCTCTTAAGAGGCATGGGAGGACATAGACTAGCTCAGTATATCGCGAACTACAACTCGTGGTATACCGAGACCGCCGCAGCCGGGACGGATCCCGACATTACTGTCGAGATCCACCCAGCTGCGTGACAGCTGGTTCTGCCTATCTAGAGGCAGAGCCAGCTGTACCCGCCCCCTCCCCCGTCCGTTCCTCCAGTCAGCGCTGGATGATGGGAGCAGGGGGGGGGGGTTAGTCCCTGCGGGGAGCGGTGACTGACAGTCACGGCTCTCTACAGGGAGGTGATCAAGAAGTGAGCGAGCGACGGTATCTTTCATTGTCACAGGTCGGCTCGAACTATGAGGATGAGTGATTTTCACTCACCTCATAGTTCTCCTTCAAATACAATTCAATCTAATTCTACATCCAGCTAGCACAAGTATCTAAATCAATCTTAAAATCAGCCTCCTGTCATCTCTCCCAAAGCAGCGCTCAGACTAGGAGGGGTAGCACTAAGAGCTAATCAGGCTTAGATCCATGCACAGGTACTGACAGATAACGTGCCGATAGGAGGAGGGAACAGAGTGAACACAGTTGATGACTATTATTGTGCGGCTGCTCATTCATTGTCCAATCAGCAGGCGAGGAGGTGGCATCTGTATCCCTTAAAGCAATCTCTGAGCAATTAAAAAAAAATAAAAAATTAAATGAAGCCACAGCAGCCTCATCAAATAAAAAAAAAAAGCTCTGGACTGCATTATTCACGTCACCACATCCAGATTACCTCCAGACCAGACTGTTTCTGGACCCAAAATGCATCCTTATGCTATTTCTGGCCTCTGTTCCCACCAGCGCAGTCCGTTCCAGATCAGACCAGAAAAATACTGCTTGTCCTATTTTGTCCGGTCTGGAATGCACGGGAACGTATGGCACGTATTGGAACGCACCTGTAAGACCGTTTTAAGCTAAAAAATAAATACATTTCTAATCGCAGCAAAATCGCGGTAAAAACGCGGCAAAAACACAATGCACTGTTACAGATCTGATCCGGAAATGGTGTGAACCCGGCCTCAGCCCAGAGCTGCCCCTACATGACCTCTTCTTCACCACAAGAGTTCTCAGACTTCCCAAGTTGAATGACATCCAGTGTCACTAAACCCAGAAGACAGAGGACTTGTGTCACGGGCCCTCCCCCTTGGGGACATCACCACGGCATCCTCCATTCACTGTATAATGATGCAGAGAGTAGCGTGCATGTCATGATGTTAAGGCTGCTCTCTGCATCATCGAGGACTGCCCACGGCCGAGAGAAGACCAGAGGGAAAAAGAAGCCAGTCACATGAACAGTCTGAAGACTTTGCAAAAGGCCAAGTATTAAACGAAAACCCTAAAATACATGATGGGGACCTCCGTGGGAGAGGAGAGCGATGGGAGGGTCGAGCTTGGAATTAGAATGGGTTGTCACCTCCTGGCTGTGCTGTCTGGCAGAGGTGTATAAAGAGTAAAGGACAAAATGCCAAATCCTTTGGCAGATAAAACAGGTCTTATGTGAACTTCAACTGTGAATTTAGCTTTAAAGATTCAGAAGATCATAACAGAGACAGAAGCAAATTGCAACTGTTTCTAATATATAACTGGCATTAATTTAGGGTTTCCATCTACTGCATGCTCATAATATCTCAATACATGAATGTCCATCTCATTGCCACCAATGTAAGGATTCTGTCAGTGGCTGCTCGGGTCTTTAAACACACTCCCGGCTACATCTATTCTCTGATCATCCCTCTAGTGAATGGAAGTGATGAGCATTTTGTAACTTCCGGTTTCAGAGCTGTCACTTTCCAGCTTGTAAGGCCATGGAGGAAGCTAACCAAGCATGATGTGTGCATATTAGCTTCAATTGAGTGAAGGGGAGTTACTAGGGGTCTGACATCTCATTAAAGAGCACCTGTCGCTTCCATTGTGCCATCACATGAGGGCTTATCAGCTACCTCCGTGATAGCAATATAGTGAAAATAAAAAAATAAAGTTTAAATAAATGTAAGTTTAATATAAATCAAAAAAACATTAAGGCCACCCCCCATATACATACTATACCGAAGCTATAGAGGGCCATCATTTATGGTATCATAATTTCATGGCCTGTAAAGGCTTTTAGAGCATTGTCTATGGCCAATTTAGGGTACCGAAGTGTTTTGCCATCTTTTAAGGCTTGACATGTTTGGTATCGATTTACTCGACGCAACCTCGTCTTTTATATTTTACCAAAACAATTGGGTATTATATTGTATTTGTAGGCACTAAAATATTGGGAATTTATTTTTTACTGTAAATCTGAGTTTACTCAGCAAAAAAGTTGAAGCCGACGGACCCAATGCAGAACTACTTAGCGTTCTAGAGCATTCTCCATATCAGTGGTTCTCAACCTGTGTAACCTCAAGACCCACATTTGTCCTTGGTCATTAAGTGGTGACCCAAATTGCGCTGCAATGGATCGCAGTGCGGGCTGCTGTGCTATGACGGAGTTCCTTCCATATGTGCATCCACTTGAACAGCTTCCTTGCCCGCCCTATAGAGGTGCCGGGAGTCAGATTGTGATGTCACTCCGGTCCAGGCACCTTTACAGCAGTGGTTCTCAACCTGTATAACCTCAGGACCCACATTTGCCCATGGTCATTAAGTCACGCCCCAAGTTGCAACCGCATGAGAATGCACGACTAGGCAGTACCGCATGTTCCGGCGCAAGCGATCAAACTGTGGGCAGGAGGTGTGTTTGGGGTGCCATTCAAATGAATTGCAACGCACCTCGAACAGTAGGTGTGATTGCGTGTTAGTTTGCGATTAAAACACTGACAGACACACACAGACACACACAACCACAGACACACTCACACACACATTCCCCAAAATTTTTTAGGGGTTCAGTGTGGGCTGCTGTGCTGTGACGGAGCTCCATCTATGTATATGTACATTGCTTCTAAAGCTCCCTTGCACTCCCTGTAGAGGTGCTGGGAGCCAGAATGTGATGTCTCTCTGGTCACGCGAGGGAGCTGTAAGCAATGCACGTATGGATGGAGCTCCCTTGTGGCCATACCTCCAGCCCATCCCACCTCAAGCTGACACTCGGCGTCGGACAGCATATTTTGAATGGCTGTTCGGCACAAGAACGGACAGTGCTGCACTATGGGGAGGCAGAGGAGCCTGTCACCTAGTGCAGTGGAAGGCATGAGGCGACCCACTAAACATGGGGTCGCGAACCACTTCTGGGTCACGACCCACCAGTTGAGAACCAAGGCTCTACAGGGTAGGCGAGGTGAGCTGTAAGCAATGCACGTATGGAAGGAGCTCCCTCGCAGGCATAGCCCCATCCCATGGCAAGCTGACACTCGGCACATGGCAGCATATGTCGAATGGCTGATTGGCGTGAGAACTGACAATCCTGCGCTTGAGGGAGGCTGAGGAGCCTCTCACCTAGAAAAGTGGAAGGCATACAGGGACCCACTGAAAACTGGGTCACAACCCACTTTTGGGTCACGACCCACCAGTTGAGAACCAAGGCTCTACAGGCTACGCGAGGTGAGCTGTAAGCAATGCACGTATGGATGGAGCTCCCTCGCAGGCATAGTCCCATGCCATCCCACGGCAAGCTGACACTCGGCACAAGGCAGCATATGTCGAATGGCTGATTGGCGTGAGAACTGACAGTCCTGCGCTAGAGAGAGGCTGAGGAGCCCCTCACCTAGAAAAGTGGAAGGCACACAGGGACCCACTGAAAACTGGGTCACAACCACTTTTGGGTCACGACCCACCAGTTGAGAACCAAGGCTCTATATATTTCAATAAAACAGTCCTATAGAAATCCATCTGCCTGTATACGGCCGACTCTCCTAATGCAACGCATGTACACTCGTAAAGCTGTTATATGTAAATGAAATAATGACAGATAGCCTGAAGAACCGGTTGGGGAAGCTGGAGCTCAAGAATAGGTTGAGTCACCTGACAAAAGATATGTAAAGTTCTTTGTATTAATGAGAAGACGCCACCGCCGCCAGCTCAGCCTAATAAGCTAGAAACTAGGACTAATTAGGAGATATAATAAGATAAAATTAGGAACTGGATTCAATTACATCCTAGAGCCCTGGGGAAGGGGTCCGGTTTCTGGGTTACTGGTGATATGGGCTGGACTAGGCTACTGACAGGCTCAGGATGGAATCTGGATCGCTCATATACCGTCAGCCATAATCAAGCAGATGAACCATCATGGACCAGGAGTGGACATATTAATATTGAATTCAGGATCCAGTCTGTCCAATCCCAGAGCCCCCAGGATGATTTTTAAATGCCACGGACAACAAAAACTAAAAAACATTTTAGATGTAATTTTTAAAGAGCACCTAGCTCTGGGATTTGTCCAACCTTACCCTATACAGCATGTTCACAGTGAAAGCACAGCTACTGAATGTTCACCTACATCTGATTGTCTCCCTGGTGAATGAACCTGGAAGTGACAAACTCTTCACCACTTCCAGTTTCAGCAATGTCATGTCCGGGAAAGCTAATCAAGCATGATGTGTGCTTGATTGGCTTCAATGGGGTGCAGAGGAGACATTAGGGGTCTAATGTCCAGCCCTGACTTATGGAGCATGTTCACAGTGAAAGGTTCACTCTCTTTTCTAGAGAATAGTGAAAGCAC